AGTTATAGACCAGGCCCCTGTTTCACAAAAACTAAAATCCCCTTAAAATCGTCTTAAACTAAAATTCCATCGTAACTTAAGATAAATGCGTTTCACAAAACAATTTAAACATTTTAGATAAAATCCACTAAAATAATATTCTAAGTTAAAATTTTATCTTAACTTAAAATAGTGGCGTTTCACAAAACTATTTTAGGGACGATTTTAACTAAAATCAATTTTACCCTCCCCTAACTTAAAATCACGACAATAACAAACAATGATTAGAGCTACCTTGTTAGATCTATTGCGACATATAGATATATTTGGAATAATGATAATATTGCCAATGGCCCGGGTCGTATACTTTTAACGTGCTATAATTCACAAAAATAATTCCCATTCAATTTATTTTAATTGCATGGGAAATACAGCTGCGGCCCGCCCGTTTATTTTATTGTAAGGCAATGAGATGACGTCCCAAATTAAAACCCCAAGAACAAAAAAAACCCCAGTAAACAAAACTTCTTACTATTTTATATATTACCATACCATTCAAGTATAAATAATACCATTTTCAAATAATTAATAGAAAAAAATCTACACTCACTTCCCATCTAATGTCTATAAAAAAAAATCTTTGTAGGTCTACAATTGTTTAAAATTGCCAATTTCTTGGTATTAAGTATTAAGATTAAGAGAGAGAGAGGGGGGGGGGGGAGACAGAGCCAGAGAGAGAGAGATGGTTTAAAAAAAATAAAAAAATAAAATCTAAACTCACTTCATATCTAATGTCTATAAAAATAAAATCTTTTTAGGCCTACAATTGTTTAAAATAGCAAATTTTAACATAAACAAACTATGTCATTTCGGAACAAACGTAGCGTTCAAGTTTATTGCAATAATTCGCTGGCCTGTAGGGGTCTTTAGTAGTGGGAGTAAACCGGAGGACTCGGACAAAACGCACGAGGTTGGACAGGCGACCCTACTCCCTGTCACGTACAGGCGGAGAATCGACCCCCCAGTCCTATAATACTAGACACGCCATATGCAAAGTATTTATGGTTTGGGGGGTATGATGATTTATATAGGGGCCAAGGGTATTTTATATCGGAAAAAAATCATTTTAATTTAGTAAGATAGATAGGCATTGTCTAATAAGGAGTGTGGTACTTTGGCATTTTCAAAGTATAATTGAATGGGTGCATGCGATCGACTGACATTTCAAATCTAGGCATCGGAACAGTGGCCATTTCGTGTATTAGTATAAAAGTTGTTAAATGCCTTTAAAATTGGACAATAACTTAGTCTAGATTAATCGTTTGAGCCAGAAATATCACATGTTTGTGACAATTCGCAATAGTTTCTGTTATCCAAAATACCATAAAACTACGAAATTCAAGCGATTTACAAATTTGGTTTGAAGCATTGGGGGTGATCAGAGGACGAACCTTAACAACAATCAGCGTTCGGTGGTCTGTCGTTGCCGAGTTTTATGTCTCCTTAAGATAACTTTCTGAATGCGATAAGTGTCATAGTTTTTAACATATCTTTTTTTTCAGATTTCGTCTTAATCATTGGGTTCGATTTTGCACCCCCCCCCCCCACACACACACACACACACTCCGAATGCGATAGACATAGAAGACCGAAATGTGCACATTTTGTGTACAAAGACAATATCTTAAAGTAATGGTTCTTGTTCATTACATTCTTATATCAACGCGTCATGCACTAATCAGAATTTTAAACAAGACATTAACTTTATGTTTCATTTTCGGCGTTTTATTAGTAACATTAAATATTAAAATTTGAAAATAATTTTCTAATTGTACACGAAACATTTTATTATGGGTTTCTTAAAGTATTCCAATTGTTACTTCAATTTAAAGTCTTATTAAAATATTTTCTATGTTTCAAAGAGTATTGAAGTTAAAAATACAATGAAATACATGTACTGCCATTATTAGGGCGTTAGCGGTAGTCCTGTCCTCGCTAATCGCCATTTCATTTCATTATCGGTATTCGTACAACTTTCATACAGGCTATAGATTAGAAATCAAAAGTTGACTTTCCACCGACTGAAATGGTTACTTCCGGTTGTGTTTACATTAATAAGTTTCAGTGATGAAACGGAAATAAAGCTCGACATATTTAATAATAAAAATCCCACGGCAAATCTATTAACTTACTTCCAGGTCTTAAAGATACATTCCCGCGTACAAACTCTGTGATTTGGTGATATATTTGGACTAAAAACATATTCAAGTAACCAATCTATCAAAAATTTGCTTCAATTCCCTCTCAAAACTTTGTATTCGCCGGGGATACCTATAAGTAAGCTGTTGTTAGACGCAATGTCTGTCAACTTAGCTTCGTTGTGGGAGGGTCCATTTTTCAGAATGTATTTATCATTACTTACTGTACATTTACCATACATATTGAGGCCTAAGTAAATTCTTAATTATATCTGTCAACTTCTTCCGCCGTTTAATCGAAGAGTCTTTTGTACGTTGACACCCCTCTATGTTCCCGAAACCACCTAACCATTTGACCAAGAAATAACAACCGCTCCCTCACTTCAGCTGGCACACAATAAGCTGGCAGTCGGGTTGCCAGTTAGTGATACCCTGACAATTTTGCCCATTACTTGCCCCATGGGCGTTTTTCGGGTAATCCAGTATTTTTCTAGTAAGATTGGGTGTCTATACTTTCCATATATACCAAATTTGACATACTTTTATTGGAAATAACCACCGGATAAATACTTTTCTGGGAAAGTATCTTTAAGTAACCAAGGCCACAGATTTAGCTCTCATCATACTTTAATGAAACATAGATACATTTATTTCCAAATTGCCTGATCCTAAACTGACTGCCTTGCCAAGGGAAATATCCTTCGATGGTTTATCACTCATAACTTTTCTCCTGTTCTTATATTCATCATCTTCATCCTACATTGACCCAGTACCAATACAACATACTGGTTAATTAAACTGTGCATAAATAAACTCTTTTTAATAATTATACACATTGTTAATACGTCAATTATGCAAGGTAATGTCATTTCAGAAAAGTCGCCCATGTTAATCCACACTACTCAATAAACCAAATCTAGACCCGAACAATCTTGACGAACAATTTCAATTAACATGCAAGAAGGATCCAAGCACTGCAACAACGCCTTTTTCTACTATAACACAAAAACTAAACAGTCTGTCGTACCAGTGGTACTAGACTTACGTGCAGTTTTTAAAACTATTGTTTATACGTTTCATGTATTCCAGTTGTAAAGGACGCACTTGCGGCAGCTTATAAGCTGGAACAAATTAATTACTATAATATTAATGTATACATTATCTTAACCCTGTGCATCTATAGTTGCGCGCACATTTTTTTTCCATTGAATACTTTTAGTAACAACACATAAAATCTACAAAGACAATACCGATAATCGTGTCATAAATGTCAAGGTTGTAGGAACTTTCCGGTTCTTGGCTATTGATTATGCCATGACCATTCTAGTTTACTTTTTGTTCTTCCATTATGCTAGTAAGGTTGTTTTTCTTTGGTCTTCCGGGATTTTTTTTAACTATAAATAAAATAAAACTTTCAATGGGTGTAAACGATTCTATTCCTTTATGTACGGTGGCTGATAAGGGACATGAAAAAAAAATATAATTTGTTTTTTTGAATATTCACCCTAGTCAATTTTAATATAATTTGTTTTTTATAACTTTCACCCAAGTCAATTTTAATTTTCACCCAAGTCAATTTTAATATAATTTGTTTTTTTATAATTTTCACCCAAGTCAGTTTTAATATAATTTGATTTTTATAATTTTCACCCAAGTCAATTTTAATATAATTTGTTTTTTATAATTTTCACCCAAGTCAATTTTAATTTCCACCCAAGTCATTTGTAATATAATTTCAATTCTGTTGAAGTTTCACCCAGCGCCTGATGTCATCTCAATTGGCCTCGTTTCCAAAACACTAATTTTCGCCCGCCATTGGGAAAATAAACGTGCAGGGGGCGACACAATTTTAGTCGGGATCTGACAGTGATACGTATTGAAATAAAATGAAATGGGGGTTTAACGTCCTACTCCGACTGGGTTACTGAATACATTATGCCAGAAGGGAAATTTTCCTCTGTCAGCGGCACGACATGAAATTGCAACTGTCAAGAGTTATTTTACATGCTCGCCAATGTACTACGGGCCTGGGTATTGATATAAGCATGCACCCATCATAGACAACGCTACCGAACATCAAGACATAGAATTTAGCGCAGTTTGTTGGAAAGAGATAACAAAACCAACTTGGCCTATGTGCACTAATGAATGATGGGTCACACGCATGGCTCTTGACCTACCTACTGGAAACAAACACAGATAGCTTTGCCATGAAGTCAGAGGGCCTCTTTTCTTACAGGACACAGAGGGTCTCTTTTCTTGGACTTGGGGCACTTCAACTGGATTTGGTGTTTCCTTTCAGTTTAATTTTTGGATATTTTCAAAAAAAAAGTTTATTACACTTTCCAATATAGGCCTATTTATATAGCAAATCTCTCCAGGGGGGGTTCTCGCAAGATACTTGGATCGATATTTTGGTGAATAACATCCACTCGACACAAATTAGGTCATTTCAGGACTATAACTCATTCATTTCAATAGTCAGTTTGTGTGTAGTGGTCTTTAGTAATGGAAGGAAACTGGGGCACTGGACGAACAACCCTACTCCTTGCCACGTACGAGCGGAAAATGGAAACCACGCCACTTGAATTATGATGCAATGCACACACGTTAACTATTCGACCCCCCACCCTTTTCAATTCTGCACATTTAATGAAAGTCAAGATTTCTTCCCTTTGATTTAGAGATCTTGTGATAATTTCAGTCCATAAAGTATAAATTAAATGTAATTACAGGCCTCATTTCTGGCTCTGATACGTTTGCAGGCCTGCTTGTGTTCACCCAAAAAGTCATCATGTTATAATATCAAAAATCTTTATTACACTAGTAATGGCTTTTCTGGTGACATATATATTGAAACAAGAACTGATAATAAAAGTATGAGAAAAATAAATATTTGATATAAGGTAAATCATAATCTATTACAATCTGATACATGTAATTACAGAATGAGAAAAATATCTCTTTAATATAAGGTAAAACAAAGTACATTGCAATCTGCTAATTACAGTATGAGAAACAGCGGTTGCCAGGCAAGATACGCCCATATTTTCCAAGAGGTGGATCAAGAACAAGCAATAAAAAAAGCTATTTTTCATACAATCAGGGGCAGTGCTCATTCTGGGTTCCATTTTTTTCCGCCAATTTTTTAATTTAATTTATTAGCCATATATTTCTTCCGCCAAAAATTTTTAAAAAAAATTTCAGTAATTTTTAAAACATTTTTATTTACATAAATACATATACATATTACAATTTACAATATTCTTCTCTGCTTTGCAGAGGCCCATTTTTTGAAAGCTTTTTCAAACTCAAGGTTAACCACTTTTCCAATACTAAGTACCATTAAATTGCACAATGTATTGGTTTTTAATGAATTTTTTTTTATAATATTTTGCCTACTAAATCCCCGTTCACACTCTGCAGTTGCCACGGGAATTGTAAGCAAGCGCTTACAGTTATCACAAATACTTGCGAATATATCATCTTTAGTTAAGGCAAATTTACAAATGGCAGTAATAGTTACATCATCTAAGTCAGACAATTGAACATAATTTCGAAATGCCATAACTTCTTCGGACAAGGTAAAAGTATCGAGTTTCAACAAATTCACATAATCTTCAATATTAGCAACAAATCCTGCATCTATCTTACTATTTACATCAAATATTTTACACAAATTACATAATACAACAGCATCTCCCTTCTCTTCAAAACGAGCATTCAAATTAGCTATGACATTTAAAATAAATTTATTACAACTAGTTTGTGCATCACCCCTTTGCTTGAAGCCATCTCTGATCATTTGATCTTCAAAAATAAATGAGGCTTCACCAAACTGATCAAGGACAATGCCACTTGGTATCAAGTTTTGAAATTTGGATAAATTAGATCCAGAACTTCCAGAAGCAATGTTTTTAACTGATCAATGGAGGATTGAAGCAAAGGGTTTACATTGGAAAACATAATATCATTTTTTTGATAACATTTACTTAATCTACAAAGAACAGCTAACACATCAGAAAGAAAATATGTACAATAAAGGAATTTTACAGACGTTATAGATTTAAGAAGACCAACAATTTTGGGGGTATTATCTTCCATTAAGACAGTTACTAAACTGGAGTAATTTTTCAAAACTGCTTGAACAGCCCCATCAAATGATAACCACATTGTGCCTGAAATCTGTTTAAATCTTATACCATTTTCAGACATTATGTTTTGAATATATACTATTCAAAATAAGTAGGGGATATTTGATTTTGGGGGCATAATACTAAAATATGCAAATGACTACGAAAAAAGTCACTATAGAACCTAACAGAAGAAACATTTCCAGTTACATGTGACGCCCAAACGCACCAATAGCTACCGCATGGAATGCAGGTGATGCTTGGGATCATCATGGGGGTCCAACCCAAGATTTGCACGACTCTGACTTTGAATGTTACAGTCATTGTGGCATTGAATTCCAGGGTGGAAACATCAGTTTAATTGTTTTAGTGACCAGAAAACAAATTTTGATAAGCGTCGGCTTACCTAAAATGAAAGGTTACGTGCCCTTGGCACGCTACAGATCGGCACAACACAGGCGGTTGTGGCGCGGACGATGAATGTTTCTCAGTCTGTCATAAGCAGGCTATGGTCCAGATACCGTGATACACAATCTGTACAGGACAGACCACGCTCAGGTCGACCAAGGGCGACAACTCAAGCCCAGGATCGATTTATCCGTACCTTGGCCTTGAGAAATCGTGTCATCACAGCAAATCAGATCAGCGCTCGTCTTCAAACAGACACTGGTGTGAGAGTGAGTGGCCAGACGATTCGGAATCGACTGCATAGGGGTCACCTTCGCGCCCGACGTCCTCGCGTGATCCCTCGTTTGAGAGATCATCACATTCAGGCAAGACGTCGTTGGTGTAGGGATCGTCAACACTGGGATAATCGACGCTGGAGCAATGTGATGTTTTCAGATGAGTCAAGGTTCACTGTTGATTTTTTGGACAGACGTAGGAGGGTGTGGCGTCGTCGAAACGAGCGCTTCCAAGACGTTAACGTCATCAGACATGATCGATTTGGGGGTGGTTCTGTTATGGTGTGGGGAGGCATCACTGTTGCTGGAAGAACGGCTTTACATGTTGTTGCAGGGCGTGTTACAGGCCAGTACTACCGGGACAACATCTTGGCAGTCCATGTCGTGCCGTTCGCACGACGTCATGGCCGCCGTTTCATCTTCCAGGATGACAACGCAAGATGTCACAGGGCCAGGATCGTTACAGGTTACCTCCAACAACAGAACATCACCACATTACCTTGGCCAGCACTGAGTCCCGACCTCTCCCCCATCGAGCATGTCTGGGACATGCTTGGACAGAGGTTACGTCAACGTCAACAACGTCCTGCCAATGTCCAAGAACTTGCTGCTGCGTTGCAACAGGAATGGGACAATCTGGACCAAAATGACCTTAGACGTCTCATTAGGAGTATGCCACGTCGGATCAATGCTTGTTTGGCAAACAGAGGAGGATTTACCCGTTACTGACTTGGTTGTGATGCTGTGGTAACTTTGCTGTTTGACCCCGGGTATCATTTTACCCTTATAATGGTCAGTCTGTGCCTTACTTAGTCTAACGATCATTTGGAATAAATCGATGAATGTGAACTTCATTTCATTTTGTCATTTGTTTCTTCGTCAGTTTCATTAGGTGACTTTAATAACACTTAAAAATCAAATATCCCCTACTTTTTTTGAATAGTATATTTTAGTTTGTTAAGATTTTTGGGTGAATTTTCAAAATACTTATATATACAATTTAAAATTTCCTGGTATTTAATAAGGTAAGGTACCTGATCCGCGGCACCACGTGAACCAAGTGCCAGTCTATGTGCAATACAGTGAGTTCCCAAAATAACAGGATTTAAGGCCTTCAACCTAGTAACAATACCACTCTTAGAACCCACCATGACAGCTGCCCCATCGTTTGCTATTCCAGACATTTTATTTATATCTAGTCCTAAACAATCTACCACATCAATTAATCCATCTAATAATTTGTCTGCTGTTGCCCTTAAAAAATCAGTCTTTGTACTACCTTTATACAAGTACATGTATCTGACATAAATTATCAAATTTTGATCAACTGCAACGTCTGTTGATTCGTCAATTAGCAGGCTAAAATAATCTGACCTTTTAACTTTTTCTATCACTTCATCTAAAACTACATCTGCCATGGCTTGCTGGAATTCAAGAACACTGTCATTATGGGTATAACTTGTGTGTTTATCCACATTTAAGGACTGTAACTGACTGGCACCCTGCTCAATACACAGATTGTTGAGGTCTTGTAGAATGGAATTTGGTAGGTCATGCTGTGCCATAAATAAAACATTCTTCATAGCAGAAAAGACAGCTTCTTTAGATTTACTGATGGACTTGTCTCTAGCTTTAACCATATCTTGACCAGTTTCTAATATTTGAAGGGCAACTTTGTGACTGTTGGTTCCTGCAAAAACAAAATGCAAAACCCATTTAATTAACCATCATAGAAAACTTTAAACCCATTTAATTATCCGTCATAAAAAATTAAATTCAAAAATTAAAATAAATGTAGCATATATTTATTCATGATAAAATTTCACACATGTACTTACCTTTACTTGAAAGATGAGCAGTAATACTTTCTTTTTTTAATACACTGCAACAAGTTGTAAAAGAATTTGTGAGCTTAGCTGATTCACATGTAGAACAAAACATTGTTTTTGTAGCTGAATTATACCTTAACCAAGGATTTGAAAATTTCCATTCGTCCCTGAAAGATCTACCTTTTCCAAATGCACTTAAGATTTTACGTTTTTCAAAATTTTTCTCTTCCGTGGTCTTATGAGGTACATGTAGTTCTACTGTGGAAGTTGATCACTCTTCAAATTCTAGGGGTGAAATAATATCAGATGGACGAGAGCTAATCATGTCCGTATCATCTGTGGTCTTAGAACATTTTGGGGGTGGGATACTAAAAAAATCGGACATCCTTCTATCGGACGTTGACGAAGACTGTTCAATTTTTCGCTTACGACCCATGGCATACGATTTGATAATAACTGTCTTTCGACAACCCCAAGATTATATACGCATTTATAAACTGTAACAACATACCTGGCTTCATTTATTAACCATACCGGCAACTTTAGTAAGAAAAAAGATCAAACAGCAGTCATAATCCAATAGTCCAAAACAAATCGATCGAGTAGTGTTCACAGTGTCCGCCATTTTGAATATATAGAAACCATCCAAAGAAAAACCGATTCGTATTTGAAAACAAATAATTAAATCTTTTGTCTCTTAATTAGTTTATTACTACTCTTGCTTTAAATACTTATCAACACTAATCCGAGATTGATCAAGAGACAAAAAGATACGTCTATACTGATTGATAACTGACTCAGCCAAGCGCAATAGACTGTAACAACGCGTATGCACGACGTGGAAATCAAAGCTTTGTGACAAGAAAAGTTATCGCCATGGGTAAAAAAGAATCGCCATGCAGCAAAAAGTTATCGCCAAAAATTTCGCCAAATTGAATATTTTATCGCCAAAATTATATTTTTATCGCAATTGGCGGAAATGGCGATCGACAGCGTGAGCGCTGATCAGGGGCCATAATCCATGAAGTTATGGTCTGAAATGCGCGAATATCGACATGGACTGAGATATTTGGGATATGTATTTTAAGTTTCATTAAAGTTTGCGTCCAACCTCGTGGGGTTTCTCCGGGTCCTCCGGTTTCCTCCCACTGCTAAAGACACCTACGCGCAAGCGAATTATTAAAATAAAATTAAATCATATGTTAGTCCCGAAATGACCTAGTTTGTGTCGAGTGGACGTTAAACCCCATTTCTCTCTCTCTCTCATAGTTTGTGTACGAGGGGCGACCATTTTGTCTGGCAGTTTCGATCAGATTTTCAGAAAATTCGAACTCAGTCATTATTAGGGCGTAACGGTGATATATTCAAACGTTTTTTTTAACCCATAAGTGCATGGCTACGGCCTACGCCGTAGAGTAAACAAAGGCTGAAATCGCATGGCTACGGAATTTCCCGTATCGTTTTTAACAGTTTGAATTTACCGCGCTAAAGGTGGTTCCACGGGAAATCCCCTTTGAACGCCATTGTCTAAATCCAGCATGACCGTCCTGGCAATGTTTTGAGTAAAATTTCTAACTTTTCGCGAATTTTCGCCGATTTAGGACATGATTTGTACAGTATCCCATTCATAGTGCCAAGGAATACCGTGGGAGTTGGATTACGCTACAGAGTGTGTATTTATGTGGGGTTTTTTTTACGAAAAATAGCGTTTTTTTGTCCAGTTTTTTGCTTCATGTAGAAATCGTAGATATTTGTGCTGCAGTTCAGTGTGTTTGATCATAATTTATGGTTTGATGAGTGTACAAAATGTAGTAGTGACTCGAATGATGATGTCGCCTGTCTAACCTCGTGGGTTTACTTCGGTTTTTCCGGTTTCCTCCCACTGCTTTTGCAAAGTTATTGGATATTTTTTTTTTAAAAATTCTGCATTGTGTACCAAAGAGATGCCTCTGAAAGCAGCATACTTCATTTCTAACATTCTGCATCAAAAAATATTTTTTCTTGCACTCAGAAGTGGGAACCTTTTTTTTTTTTTTTTTTCCTGATTTCAATTTGTGGTCTGTAGCCGTGCCACATGAAATGTGTGGTAACCTGATATCTCGGAAACCGCTGACCGGAAGTGGTCGAAGTTTCGGCTACTCTGAGATATTATTAAAGTTATTATGATTTGCAAGTTTCATTGAAATCGGTTGATAATTGTGGTCTGTAGCCGTGCCACATGAAGTGTGTGGTAACCTGATATCTTGGAAACCGCTAACCGGAAGTGGCCGAAATTTTGGCTACTCTGAGGTATTATTAAAGTAATTATAATCTGCAAGTTTCATTGAAATCGGTTTATAATTGTGATCTGTAGCCGTGCCACATGAAATGTGTGGTAACCTGATATCTCGGAAACCGCTAACCGGAAGTGGTCGAAATTTGGGCTACTCTGAGATATTATTAAAGGGACTATCCCGAGTTGAACAGAGTCGTATGAAATTTAAGCGCCAAAATATAGAGGAATGGTGTATTTACCCTGCCTCAAAATTTCAGCTCAAAATATTGAGTTGTTTGGACGTGAACGTCAAAAATGCTTATCCGGACACGTAACCCTTTTAAGATTTCTGGTCCATTTTTTTGTTGGGTGACCTGATAATCTATCGCCGTTCCTTTAGAGGTCTATACAGTGAATGACTCATGTGTCGCACTGGATAACGAAAGGTAAATTTCACCTACACATTGTTTTTATAAAATAAAAGTCTGGTTTTATCCAGGCACCGCATAATACAGCTTGAGACACCGTTCTCCATTTCCAGATGAAGACTGACGGGTGTAAGTTGTTTGAAAACATATTACAAATATTGAATTAGTCCATCGGCCCTTAGGTACGGGATATTAAGGAGTTTTAACACAAAATTAAGCAGTTTTATTCTCCAGAATATTATCGGGATTGGCCCTTTGAAGTAAATATAATCTGCAAGTTTCTTGAAATCGGTTGATAATTGTGGTCTGTAGCCGTGCCACATGGAATGTGTGGTAACCTGATATCTCAAAAACCACTAACCGGAAGTGGTCGAAATTTTGGCTACTCTAAGATATTGTTAATGTTAACATATTCTGTAAGTTTTATGGAAATCGGTTGATAATTTCGGTCTGTAGCCGTGCCACATGAAATGTGTTGTAACCGAATATCTCGGAAACCGCTAACCGGAAGTGGCCGAAATTTTGGCTACTCTGAGATATTATTAAAGTAATTATAATGTGCATGTTTCATTGAAATCAGTTGATAATTGTGGTCTGTAGCCGTGCCACATGAAATGTGTGGTAACCTGATATCTCGGAAACCGCTAACCAGAAGTGGCCGAAATTTTGCTTACTCTAAGATATTATTAATGTAATTATAATCTGCAAGTTTCATTGAAATCGGTTGATAATTGCGGCCTGTAGCCGTGCCACATGAAATGTGTGGTAACCCCCATATCTCAGAAAACGCCAACCGGAAGTGGTCGAAAGTTTTGCTACTCAGAGATGTTATCAATGTTATCATAATCTGTAAGTTTCATTAAAATCTGGTAACAATTGCGGTCTGTAGTCGTAAGGCTATTTTGAAATTCTTGCTTACCACATGTGGCAAATAGCCACTGCATTAAATACACTTACAATTTCTGTTTCGATCTTTAAAATTATCGCAGAGTGACCTCCCTTTCCAAACAGACACAATTAACCAGTCGCTTAGTGAACCAAATAGAATGGAAATGAGTGTTATTTTATTACGTCACGAATATTTTCATTACGTCAAAATTGTTTTCCTTGGTATTTACGTCATTAAAACCAAAAAATGATTTCATCGGTATCAAATGGACAATAACAGTCCTCTAAATTCTAAACAATCGGTGTTTATCTCCTAAATAACAGTCCTCTAAATTCTAAACAGTCGGTGTTTATCTCCTAAATAGTATGTTCATTCATAAGTATAGCGGTACCGTTAGTTGAAGCTCGCTAAGACAGTACAGTCGGGCGAAGTACTCAGTTATATTTGAAGACTACAGCTCGGCTAGTAAATGCCAGTCATGTATAAGGATTTTAGTTATGAATACTAATAGGTGTGTTTATTATCATAGCTGCTCACGGTTATTATGTCTTGTTGGAAAATAGGGAGCCAATTTCTTAGTTTACGTGACATCGGACCGCCTTAGTCAATTGCTCGTAGAGGGGTCGCACTCGGCACGCCGCGGCTTACCGACATTTGGTCAACGGGCGCGTCCCAAATAACACGGGACGCGGCATCTTGGAGATTTCCAGATTACCTATGGATAAGGTTTCCTGCAGTCTTCGATCAATAGTGAGTCTGGTACGGATCAATTACTATTTCATAT